TTGCAGTAACCTTCCCTCAGGAGTGGGGATTTTGTAGTATCATTCCCCTGCCATGCCCACCAAGCCATGCCCACAGAACCGGTTGTAAAAAAAATTGAATTCCACCACTGCCTTGCTTATATGATCTTTCTAGACAAAGTATATAGGTATCTCTGATTAGCATGGCTTTTTTCTCCAAACTTAAGAGAACAGCTAGGTTTAGACATAATCTTACACCATTATGCATTTTGTTTCTATCCAACTTGCTAGATCCAACATACACCGTTTTAAGCCTTGAATTATTTTGTCAGGAGAAATTTGAAAGTAAAAGCTAAAGGCAAAACTGCTGCCAAACTCCCTATGCCAAATTACTGCCCTAGTTTTCATTTGTTTTTGTTGTTGTTAAGATGGATGCTGGGACCTGGTGCTTTTTGGAAAGAAATATTAAAATATGTTTCTGTAAATAAGCTTTTGGCTTCTTTTTTGTAGCCACAATGAAGAACAAACTCTGGTCCCGAAAGTCAGGGGGGAAAAAACCTGTCTGGAATGTACACAGTTGGCCCTCAGACAAAATGAGAAAAATGCTGATAAGATGGAGTCAGCTGCTAAAGGGAGGAGGTTGCCTGGGTGGTTTGATTTGGACAAGGAGGCTTGCCATTATCGACTGGCACCTACATTGCTCAGGGTTAGTCTGGTATCTTCTTCCTGGGCTGTTATCCAAGGGCTGGCTGCCTTGACTATGCTAGAGCGCCAAAGCAGCCTGGGTGTTAAATATGTGCAGCTTTCATACTACAGATTGTGTTAGACTAACAGTGTCATGTGGTATGCATATTAATGTGGATCTTACCCAGTTTGTACTTTCCAAGCCTCTGTAGAAACCCCAAAAACCATTAAAGAGGCATTAAAATGTCTCTTTAAAAAAAAACATGTTGATATAGAAACAAGCTGGAAAGGTTGACATCGGAATGCCTTTCTTATCTCTGATCGTTTTAACATTTGTTTGGAACAATGAAAGACATTAATGGTTTATCTCCTAAAAGATTAACATTACCCTCTAGATATGGGAGAAAGGAAACTTTGCTGAAGTCTTGTTGTCAAGTCATTTCCCCGTTCTATTCATTCAGGGGCCAAACTAAATCAGGAAGTTTTTTTTGAAGAAAAAATGGAATTATTCAATAAATATCATAGATGGGGTTATGGCAGCAAGCATGCCTTTTATAAACCTGTATTTTCCCACAGCTTTTTTTTTTTTTTTGCTGATTTTTCCTATCTATAATAAACCTGCTAATGAGGACTTCATGCAAAAACCTGCACAGTGTCCTTATATAATACTAGGACCCTTTTCTTGAAGTACCTCTCTGAAAGCATCTCTTCATTTAAAGTGGCTGATGACTAGCATTTTACTGACAGTTAAGATCTGCTTATTTATTTTCATCAAGGATTGATGAAAATGTCTCAGAATGTCTGTTGCAAAAATATTTAGCTTTAAACCTACCATACAATTGAAAGTTTCATACATTTCTTTGCAGCGATAAAAAGAAATTACTTGCTCATCTATGAAAAATGCTTGGTGGAATGTCTCTGTAGGAAGCACAAAAAGCTTGCAGTCAGCAAAAATATTTTCTACCAAGCCATAATACTGATTGTTTAAGAATTCCCCACCACCCCGGGCTAGTGAGAAGTCCAAAAATAGCACGACAGTATTCAATTTTCTTTGGATTAGAACACAAAGGAGACTTAGTAGGTAATATTTACTTTATCTACAAACGAACAATACTTAACGGGAATTTATCCTGAATATACAAGTAAAGGCTTAGAAAATGAAAGTTGAAAAAGTTTGAGACATGGGTTTATTTTCCCTTCCTAAAACTAACACTCTTTCACCAGAAATACTGGAAATCTCCTATGGAAATTCCTAATTTGGAATAGGGGGAACTACTTTGAAATGCAGCATTTTATCAATTCATAACATAAAGATAAAGGATTTTATCTATTATTTTAGTGTGAGTTAAATAGTGAAAATGAACATGCTCAACATCCAGGTTGCATCTGTATACCTGGTTGATCTTAGTCCTCATAGTGTACCACCCAAAACATGAGAGAATATATGCTATATTGCTCTGGACTATGAATACAACAGTGAAATTTATTTACATTTGTTCTATCTGGTTTTGGGGTACCATATACCATATATTTGGTATATGACCATATATTTATTTTATCTGAGTCTATTGGAAGAATGATTCATGTTTACTTTTCTTTTGAGACTTTAAATTGGGGAAAACTGTTGAGAAAAACTAATGAATAGGAAGAAGGAAAATAATTTTGTTATGTGAAAAGGGAAGGGGTTGCAGAAAGTTCTCCTTGCAGATTTAGTTTGCATGAGAAGACCATTGTTTGGTCTTTGGCTTTAATCATCAGAAGCTGGAAATTAAATCCTCAGGGGTCCTGGATTCTGGTAGGTCTAGCTAATGTGTCTAGGGCTTGGTCTAGTGGTGTGGTAATGGGATAAATTTGAACCAGTAACTCTTGAGGAAGTAAACAAGGATCTCAGCACTTTTAATTGAGCCACTTGTTTGTTGGACCCCTCTGGTTAGTTACAGTAGCCAGGGAGGTGAGTTTTATTTGTTTATTTTTTAAAAAATTTGATTTGTCAATTGCTTACAAGATAATAGGTATAAGAATAAACATAGTTATGAATACATGAAATGGATACATATAAGAAAAATAAAAGAAATAATAGGACAGGGATGGTAGGCACGTTGGTGCACTACAGACCTCTTAGGAAAGGGGTGAGGTCAATAGTAGACAGTCTAAGGTTAAAGTTTTTGGGGTTTGGGGAAGAAACCACATAGTCAGGTAGCGTGTTCCAGACATTGACAACTCTGTTGCTGAAGTCGTATTTCCTGCAATCGAGTTTGGTGCGGTTAACCTTGAGTTTGTATCTATTGTGTGCTCTTGTATTGTTATGGTTGAAGCTGAAGTATTCATTGACATGTAGGACATTGCAATGTATGATTTTATAAACTGTACTATACTTAGATCGGAACGAAGATGGCATAGTTCTAGAAGTTGTGGTTGGATCCATACTATAGTGGAAACTTCTTTGAGGGAAGAGGTTGTCCTTCGGCCTTGAAGGAGATGAAGGTGCACCCCACCCATTTGTCTTCAAGACTTAACAATCTGAGACAAGCATTATCTTTTCCCACTCCTAAAATGAAGATGTTGAAAAGATGGCAAGATTGCTGATGCAGAGGAATCTGGAGGAAGTGGATTATCTAGACCCATTTCATTCAGATCTCAGGCTAGAATTCAATATGGAGGCATCCTTGGAAGGACTTGTAGATGATCTATAACAGAGCATGGTTGGAGAAGTGTATCCATTCTTGCTCTCTTTGATCTCTCTCTGACTTTTAATACTATTTTGTAGTGGTTTTCCTCCTTCCTTTGGGAAAAGTACTGGTCTTGGCTGTGGAGGAGAGGTCATTTCTTCCTTTGTCAAGTGCCACCGGGTCGACACCCTTTCTCTTCTTGTTGAACATCTGCATGAAACCACTGGGTGATGTTATTTGCCATTTCTTGAGGGTCTGCCTATCTCTCATCATTTCAGCCCAGCTGGTTCAGGCCATGATCTGTGTTCCTTCAATCAAACAGTGTCATCTATTGTGATCCCAGAATGTGTGTTCTCTGTGCTGTGCTTGTCCTCTGGAATGAGTTTCCAAATGATGTCCATGTCTCCCACTGTGATAGCATTCCAGGAAGCCTTGAAGATCTGGACGTTCCCTCAGGCTTTGTGTTAGGCTGATTGGAGCCCCAGTGGATTCACTCCTGGAGATGTGGTTGTGGTTAATCAGATTTGCCATCTCATCTTCTTCTATCTTCCCTTTCTTGTTCCTTTGTTTTTAATGTTTTACTTTATTTTCCTATTTTATTATATAATGTCCGGGTTTAAAAAAGATTGTGTTGGTCAATGCCTAAATTGAATAAAGAAAACAGAACTATAATAATGTGGGAAGCAGGATGGAGAAGGACACCAGTTTATTTTGGGGGAAACAAATGTAAGTCCTTTGTCATTTCATGCCACAATCAAATAATAAAATAGAAATCAAAGTACAACCCTGTTATATAGCTTTTGCTAACTCTTAATTTCCATAGCTGTTTTTCCTGGGCATATATTTTCTCTGGGTATATGTCTTCTTTGAGATTATATGTCCTCTGGGTTTATGTCTTCTCTGGGCCTATCTTTGTCTCCCACAGCCATATTAAAAATTGACTGAAGTATTCACTGAGAACGTAAAATGTATATACTAAATTACTAATTTCAGACCTTTAAAGATGACTTCTGGCGTTCTAAAGAAATCATCTTTCCATCAAGGCAATAGAGATGCCCTGTTTGATATATTTTCCCTTACAGCCATTGACATGATGCATTGTATTGATGCAAAGTTAAGGCCAGTTCCACATTCATTAGGAAAGTTTAAAAAGAAAAAAGAAAATATGTTCTGTGTCACTAGAGCAAGATCCTTACATAATACCTCTACCTTTTCAGTAATTTTTAATGAGCCTTTGTTTAACATTCAATATATTTGATTCTCATATTAAAACCAATGTTTTTTAATTATTAAAATGCTGGACTAGGATTGGAAAACCAATGTTCAGATCTACTTTTAAGCATAGAAGCTCACTTTCTCTCAGCCCAATTGACCTCAATTTGTTGTAGGGAAAATTGGAAGAGCAAACTCTTATGTTATAGTATTGATTGAGTTCCTGGAGGAAAGGTACTATATAAAGCTAACAGAGATATGATCCTCATCCTTGGATGTTGTAAAACTATTTTAAATATTCTTTCCTCTGATTGCATCTATACATATTTTTGTTTGTAGGAAAATTGATTTTTTTTAAAAATTATTATTGAAGACAGGATATATTTTCTGTCTCTGGTTGCAGAGGCTGTGTTAGCGTACAGTATTGATACTTTGAAGCTATGCCACTCCTATGATTACTTTTTTTTTCATTTGCAGGTGTACAACTCAAATAAGGACAGCCAAAATGAAGGCAGTAAGTAATTTATTATTTAGTTTAAAAAAAAAAGCTAATATCGAGCAAATGATTTTTTAGACTTGAATGCTTGAGTAAGCCAGTAGATGGTGCTCCATAATCTACTCTAACCTTCTTTACTTTAAACTTTCAGGTATAGTTTTGGGGATCAAGTGGTTTCACAGTAACAGTAATCAGCGACAATCACTGTATTAAACAAAAGAGCTTTATAGCTGCTGGAGTTCCAGCAAGTAAATATCTGGATGCAACCCAACAACTGTGGAGTTCTGAAACTGGCTTTGTTGCAAATTGTGTGTTTCCTTTGGCGAATTATTTAACAACCTTTTGTCTCAGTTTACACAACCCAGGCACAGAGGGTTACAGAAGGGAAGTGAGAAGGAGAACTAAGATTTTTTCCCCCCTGAATTTTAGTACCTTGTTTTACTTTCCTTAAAATTTAATGAATAGAAATAAAATATCTTGTGTTAAAAGGAGTTTATCCAAAACCTGAGCCTGCCCCCTGGACTGTTGTTGAGCAGATATATTTTTGGAATGAAAGGCTCTTTGTACATATGAAATACACTCTTTAAATATTTTCCTCTCTTTACCCCAAATATTGGAAGAGCAAATGGCTTGATATGTGTTTTGCTGAGCAACTTCAACTTCTTGCTATTGCTATTTAAAATGTGTTCTCTGTTTCTAAGTAGGGAGCCAGCTTACAAATATCACTGCAGCTCTAGTTTTTTCCCCTTCTCTTTACAGCTGCTGCCATACAGTGACATAGCAGCAAATCTCTTATTTATCTTGGGTGTGGCTTATAAAGCTAGTGTGGGTTTTCATATGTTGGTTATTGAGTTTGGGAATACTGATGAATGGCATTCTTTTTAACCCTGCAAGCTCAGAAATACTTGGAACACAGTAAAAGAAACTCCCTCCTATTGCTCCCTTTTTCTAAGAGCAAACAGCATTCAGTTGAAACCTTCATGAGCTCATCGTCCCTTTTCATCCTAAGGGATCCCTGCTGGTTGTGTTTCTTTATAAATAGAATGTTGTTCCTAGTAAATTTGAGAAGCAGCATCTCCAGCTGTTGGGTCACTCCAGCTGACAGACACTATATACAGTAGTGGTCTAGTTTCTCTCACTACTTTCAGTTGATAAATGCCATATAATTTTAAACCCCCACTTTCCTTTCTTCCCTTCCCAGCAATGCAAGATTTACATACCTATCATTTCTTTAATAGCACTAGTGTGTCAAACAAGACAGCACAATTAGAGATAATTGCACCTCAGTAGATTGCTGAGATTATGTCAGCCTAGTCAGGGTTTCTAGGAATCCCTCTTCCTACCAGTTGTACGTTCCTGTGTTAAGAAATTTATTATTATAAATAAATTTTATTAAATTTACAATTAAAAACATATCGACATTGCATACACAAAAGGGAAAAAAACAAAAAAAGAACACTCGGTCTGTGTTAAGAAATTTAAACAAAAAAAAAAGCAGTAGAGAAACTTGCAGTGAGACAAGTTAGCCATATATTTGACTAATATATAGATCAGGGGTCTTCATCCTTGGCAACTTTAAGCCTGGTGGACTTCAACGCCCAGAATTCTGGGCGTTCAAGTCCTCCAGGCTTAAAGGTGCCAAGGTTGGAGACTCCTGATATAGAGCGTGACACAGAAACTTCCTCTCACTAACTTTTTAAATGCAGAATTCTATAGGTAGTCCTTGACTTACAGCAATTTGTTTAGTGACCATTCAAAGTTACAAAGGCACTGAAAAAAAGTGACTTATCATTTTTCACACATACAACCTTTTCGGCATCCCCATGGTCACGTGATCAAAATTCAGACCCTTGGTAACTGACTCATATTTATGATGGTTGCAGTGTCCTGGGGGCCACGTGATCTCCTTTTGCGACCTTCTGACAAGCAAAGTCAATGGGGAAGCCAGATTCACTTAATAACCGTGTTATTAACTTGACACCTGCAGTGATTCACTTAACTGTGTCAAGGAAGGATGTAAAATGGGTCAAAATTCCCTTAACAGCTGTCTCACTTAGCAACCTAAATTATGGGCTCCACTGTGGTCATGTCAAGGGCTACTTATAAAGAGGAAAACCATGATTTTATTTTTCTGTGACACGGATAATTCCTATTGCTAACTTTTTTAATGCAGAACTCTATTTAGGTGAAAGGGGCTTTCCCCAAGCAATTTAACTTTGAATTAGGAAGACATCTTAAATATGCTGAGAATGTGGTAAAAGGGGCAGATAACGGTTTTAGCTTCTCCCCTCCTTTTCTTTTTGGATTCCTCCTCTTTTGGGAGGGATGTTTAATTTCAAATATTTGAATTGGGGCGGGGGAATGCACTTATTCCTATATAGGTCTGATCTTTTGTTTTGATTTTAGTGGTTACTTGTCTATGAGTTGAAAATGGCATGGAAGTCCTGGCAAAGCTCTTTAATCAAAGAAAAGTGGCTAATGACTTCTCTTTGCAGTATTGCCATAAATTGGCCTCATAGTTCTGTGGTTTCAGTAGGAAAAGCATTATCATCAGTTTACCACTATGTGACATTTTTCTGTTATCTGTGGACTAGCAATTGGCAAAATTAACACTGAAAGAACAGTTTAATTTACTGGCTGATCTTTGTAATTATTTTAACTGGGACATCTTTTCTCCAACCCTCTTCCAGTTCCCTTGTTTCCTTGCCCAGGGCATTCCTCTGCTAGTAAGAACAGGCATTTCTTTTTTTATAGCCACTAGCAGGAGAAAAAAATAAAATCTGGGCCACCAGAATGGCAAGGAGAAAAGGAAAACTCGACTATTTTTTCTTCTCAAACCCTACTTTGGATGGGATTAGTATTAACTGCTGCCGTAAATTCAGAATTGTGTGGTTCCATGTACAGTTACCTAAAGTGTGCAAATACATTTATATTGCATAATTCAGGATTCAGCATCTTCTCCAATCCCATTTTTGCATACCTCAGGTCCTTTCCAACTGTACTCTTGAACTTTGGTATTCTTCCATTTTGGGACTGAAAACAGTTGGGAAAAACATAGGATATGCCTACCTTTGCTAGGATATGCTAGATGGCATCATTACCTTCCTATCATATCTCAAAGTCCCTTCACAGCCGCTAAAACTTTGCCTGTCACTTGCCTCATTCCAATTATAGTGCTTATAAGGAAATAAAAGCATTTTATGTTCTCTGTTCTAATCCCAGGAGTCGATTATCTGAATGCTTTCTTTCTTTTTTCAATTATAGTGGTGAAAGCAATTTCTTTTGTTTTTGCTGGGATTATAATTCAGTGTAGAACTCTTCACTAGCAGCAACCCAGATCTCTCAAAAGAATTGTGAGTAATCGGGTATGAAAGTCATGGCAAATTTGAGATATTTCTTATTAGCCTTTAAATAAGGAGATTACCCTTAACCACCAGAGATTGGGTAATTGGGAGTTGATTTTTTTTTCCAATTATCCCAGAAACAAAATTTATGTTCTGTAGCAGGGGTATCAAACTGGCGTCCTGAGGGCCAGATATGTCACATGCAGGCCACGCCCACCCCAGCTCCGCAAAGAGAAAAAAACCATCACGATATATCACATGATGCAACGTAATGCCCTGAGTTTGACACCTGTGTTCTGTAGGGATCTGCATGGATCTCTCCTCCATCAAAATACAGTTATGAGAGCCATACATTTGTTGAAAACCATGGCTGAGATATCTCCCTGAAATATTTTTCTGTGAAAATCCCCTTTTGCTAGAAAATCACAGATGAAAGTATAGCATTAATATCCTGGAAGGAAATAATAAGTTGCTACTGGAGCCTTGTGACCCGGACCAAGAATATCTGTAAACTTCAATATTGATTTTGCTGTTTCATTGCTGAAGCACTGTCAGCATTTTCTAGGAGCTCTTCTCCATGTCTCTATGATCTTTCCTCTTTGGTTAAGAACCAACTCAATACATTTTAGTTTGTTTTGTATAAAAAGGTGAAACAAAGTATTCTCTGTAATATTCGGTAGCATTTTTGAAGACTGCTGTGGCCTTCAGTGTTAATTCTGAATCTTTGTTCACAATTCTTTTGAGGTGTTTTCAGATGTAATGCTGTAATCTTATATTAGTGGACATTGTCCTTCAAGTTTATCTTTTTAGTATTTTGAGCATAAAGGTATTTGTGGCATTATCAGGTTTAAATGACCTATGTTTGCCTTAAAGCTAAAGCAGTAACCTGCCCTGTTTAAAAGCTGAAGTGAGCTCCATATTCTATAGATTGCAGATATCACTTTGCTAATTGAATAAGGGATATTGGGAAGCGAAAAATCAATCAGAATAGAGCTGGAAGGGACCTTTGAGGTTTTCTAGTCCAACCCCCCCCCCCCTGCTCAATTAGGAGACCGTATACCATTTCAGATAGGTGGCTGTCCAGTCTTTTCTTAAAAACCTCCAGTGATGAAGCATCCACAACTTCTGAAGGCAAGCTGATTCACTAGTTAATTGTTCTCAGTGTTAGTAAGTTTCCCTTAATTCCAGGTTGCCTCTCTCCTTGATTAGTTTCCACCCACTGTTTCTTGTCTTGCCTTCTGGTGCTTTGGAAAATAAGTTGATCCCCACTTCTATGTGGCAGCTCCTCAAATACTCCTTCTTTTCTCTAGACTGGCTATACCCAATTCCTGCAATCATTCTTGCTATGTTTTTGTCTCCAGGCCCTTAATAATCTTAGTTGCTCTTTTTTGTGCATTTGCACAAATCCACTTGATAACCATTATTTCTTTAGAATTAAGAAAATAGAATAAACCCTCTGCCCAATGATGGGAAGAATAATGTCCTATAGGGCAGTGGGAAAAGAATCCCTTTATGATTCCTAAATCTGAAATCTGAAATAAGAGCTATGATTTTTTAAAAATATACATTTTTCTTTCTAAAGTTACCATGTAAGCAGAGAAACCCTTAGGGATTTCTTGAAGATATGTGAAAGTGTTCCTTTTGATAAAAAAAATCAAGAAACATATTTTGCAAAGAATTATGAGCTTCGGTATTTTGATAATTTAGCTAAGAATATTAAGATGTATTGCTCTTCTAAAAAGCATGCAATTTTGAGCCTTTTTCTGGTTGCTAGCTATTAATGTGGGATTCCCCCTACTTTTTTTCCTTCAACGTTTTGAATGTAGCATATCCTGCTTCGTGTTTGAGTAGGTTGATGGATTGTTCAACTATTTAATATATTTAATTGTGTTTTTTTAAATAATCCCACGCTTGTGCATTTAAGGTTTATCCACTAATTCTGTGTCTGAACCTTTCCTCAGTTTTTATACTAGTGTTTATTCTGCATAGATAGACTGAATCTCACATCCCTCCCTGCTCCTTGCTCTGAATGAAACAACTCTTGAAAAGTTCCTTTTGAAATTGAAGAGAGGTTATTAGTTCAGGATGCCAGCCATAAATTAATACACTTGCACAGCAATTTAGATTTCATCTGCAAGCCAAGTTGCAAGTTAACCATTCAGACACAGGAATCCATTCATGTAGCGTTCAAGAAAACACACTTGTTTGTTTCCAGCTGCAGTAGTTCCAGCTGTGAAATGATAGAGCTCCATCTATACATCTGGTATCTATATAGTTTATGACTCTGGAAGGCTTATATGATAAAAATATATGAACATTTCTTACAAGAATCATTCTGTTTTGTGGAACCATCTATAATCAACAGCCAGTTATGTTTATTCCTGCACTGATGTTTTGCCTATTAAAAAATGTAGGCAATAAACTTCATAAGAATTGTTTCAAAATCGATTTTGGGTGTGTAGCTACTGTATATTTTTAAAAAGTCAACACTGGGCCTCTAAGAGTCAGTCTCCCAGAATCAGATCTCTGAAACTCGGAATTCCTGTTTTGGTATTTCATCACAGCTCTCTGTTATTTCTTTATTTAAAACATTTAAATTCTCTCTAAATTCCAACAGGGATCTGAAAAACACACAACCAGACTGTTAAAAAAGATCATTGTAAAACACAAAAATAGACAATGGCAAATAGCAGCTGCAGCTACAGCAAAAATAGACTCCCTCTCCAACAAGTGTAGTCTAATCTGTGTTTCATATTTTAGAATTCCTTCTTAAAATACATACGCAAATGGACACATTTGCCCCATTTATTTTAGGTATTATTACATATAAATGCACAACTCCCCATTGAGAATGGCACTTGGGTTATTTAAATGTCTTATGCAGACACAGTAGATGCCTTCTGGATAAAAGAATGAGAAGCATCAGGGAAGTTGCTTCTTTATAATAAGCCCTGTTCCTCTTCTTGCTTTATACTCAGGGCCTTTTATGCAGGGGGTCCACAACCCTTAGGCTCTGGCCTGATCCTGGGACGCGGTGGACCGTTGGGAACTGGACTGCACAAGCTATGTGCAAGCGTGTAAGACGCCATTTGTGTAAATGGTGGGTGCACACACCTGCTGCTTGCACAGATGGAGCTTTGCATGTGTGCCTGCCACTTCCACAGAACCATCCCCTCTGCCCTACCACTGCCACTGCCGGTCCACAGAGCTGGAAAGGTTGGGGAACTTTGCTTTAAACTGCAAAACTATCCGCCTTTAACTAAAATACTTATAAGCAGTGAGAGATTCTCCCCCCTCTCCCGTTGAGAAGAGATATCATTCTAAGTTGAAGCTGACCAAAACGTGCATTAAGCCTTAATGGATGTAGTAATTATGTATGTATACATGTATTTATGTATGTGTTATTTAAAATTATTTAAAGTATATTTAAAATTATTTAAAGTATACTAGAGGGACATAGGGGTGGTAGTGTGGCCTAAAGGTGGAGTTCTTGCCCAGGAGTGGGATGCTGGGGGTTTGCAGGGGTTCGGGGGAAGCCCCTAGCTAAGATTCTGTGCACCCCTGCTCACCCCTCCCCTCCCAGGAGTCCCCACGTGGCCTGTTTTGGATGTAGGTAAGTGCAGGGCATGCGGGGAGACTTCGGGAGGGTGAAAAACAGGCCTCCCAGAAATTTGGGAAGCCCGGAAATGGGCCTGTTTCCGGCTTCCAGAGAGCCTCCAGAGCCCAGGGAGGTCATTTTCGCCCTCCTGGAGGCCCAAGGAAAGCCTCCTTAGCCCAGTGAGGGCAAAAACGCCCCCCCCCCCCCCCCACGGTGCAGGAGGCCAACTAGGCCATGCCCACCATGCCCATGCCTTCCCCCTCCCCGCAACCAGCCCTTTGCTAAAATTTTTGAAGCCCACCCCTGCTCTTGCCTCACAACCAGGAGGCTGTGAGTTTGATCCTAGGTAGAGGCAGATATTTCTCTCTCTGGTCACAATGAAAATATATCTGCTGAACAAAACTCCGCATTGGCGACAGGAAGGGCATCCGACCATTAAACACTCTGCATTCAGTTGCAGAATGGAGTCTGCAACTCCATTCAGTTGTCCAAGACTCCAGCCTACGCGGCATTATGGGGCCGTGTAGAAGAAGTTGATACTAGAGGGAACTGTAATGTATTGTTTGTTAAGCAATCCCTTTATGGGAGTTGTAGCCACAAAACTAAAAACAAATGAGGACAGCATGGATTCTTTACTTCCAAGCCAGTTGGAATATCACAGAACAGCTGCATCTAAAAATCAGTTCCAGGAGAATTATGCTGTGGCAAAATAGGATTCTGTAGATACTTCCGCTTCAAGACTGTACTGTATGACTCTGAGCTTTATTGTAACTTTTGTATTTTAGTGATGGTTATTTATTTCTGTAATTCTAAACATGTGCTAGCAGTCAGTTGGAATGTTTAATAAGCTCTCTTTTTAATGGCTGTGTGAGACCATTAGGTAGCATAGAGTGTCAGGAAATAGCAACTGATCTCACCCACATAGGACCTATAAACTCCAATTCAGCAACTTGGAATGATAATGGCAGGGTTTTGAAGATATATTTACTTGGTGGGTGTTTAGTCATTCATTCTCCAGAGAATGGTAGGATACAATGCCATTTTAGGAATTGTATACAGCCGAAGTCCAGATAGGTGATGATAGGAGGTGCTGCCTTTACATTGAGACAAAGTCTGCCAGTAAACCAAGGCAGGCATTTTTGTTTTCATGGACATATTGACATCACATAAAAGAAAAAAAAAATGTAGGTTACAAACAGAATTATATTGATGTGGGATTATTTATTTCCCCAATCTTTAAACTATTACATGAGAACACTGTCAATCATAGTAAGTCAAGTCTTTGTCAAAATGATGGGAAACATGCTCTGCCTCTTGTGCAGTTGCATACAACATTAAGAAGTTAATGCAAAAGAGAGAGACTTATTGGGCCATCTCAATACACTTATCATTTGTTTCTCTTGCACCCTTGGAGAGTCCCATAGTTGAGGACCACAACTGCTTTATTCAAACTTTATCATTGGTTTCCTTGCTTGCATTCCATCACGCATACTCATCAACCTGTCCATTCCCCACATATCCTTAGTTAGTCATGAGTAATTTACTTTTCTTCAAATTTCAGATTCCTCTTCTAGTCCCATGGGATTATTAATAGAAGACTTTTCGAATAATTATTCAGATGCCCATGTTTTGATCCTTATAGTTCTACCCTGGACAGTAAAAAGTATCTTCAGAAATGTACTCTGTTTTAGGATGCTTTTATATATTTTAAAAAAGGAAAGCAAATCAAAATAATGATGTTGCATTTCTATTACACTATCTTTTCCTTAGTAAATTCTTTTTTCCCCCTTGCAGTGGCCCAGTTGGATAATATGGGTTTCAGCATCGTCAAGAAATGTATCCATGCGGTTGAATCTAGAGGTGATGTTTCCAGATAATAAAACTATATCCTATCTATATAGCAGATGCAAACTTCGTCAGCATTTTTTCTTCCCTCAATTGTCATAGATGCAATCTTGACCTAGTTCTAGATCAGCTTATGTTGTTGATGGAAGTTCATCTTTAAAATATCAAATGAAAGAAATTTTGAGAATTCTATTTTCCAAATGTATGCTTCTTTTTAGGCTCCAACTCAAAGCCGTGTTAGTTTGTTTTCTGATTACCTTTTTCTGATTGTAGATATTTTATGAATACATGCCATGGCTTATAAAAAGAGTTGTTGAGCTTTAGCTTTTATACCCCACAACTACAAGTCTGTATCTGATTCGATGTTAAATAAAAAAACACAGCTTAAGAATATCGGGGTCAATTAAAATGATAGGTTAAATATTATTATTCAACTGTACAACTAAACTGGTGATTGTTTTGGGGAAAAACCCTAAGCTTTTCAAATAATTAAAGCTAAGGTCATTTAACCTCTATGTCTAATTCTTAGAGACATTCTGTGCTGCTGTTCGTGTATATGACCTCTTGGCCCCAACCCAACACCTAACAACAGATTTTTACATTCCCTCATTTTTAATTATCTCATTATAATGGGAGAGTAACTTTTACTAGAAATCACATCTGTGTCTTTAATCTGAAACACCAAAAGAAATGCTATCTGCTTTAATAAGAAACTTCAAAAGTGTGTAGAATGCTGTGGGAGACTTTTAATTAGTGTAGCTCTGTGAGAAACTGCTTTTAAAAAAAAGCATTAAATTACTTTTCAACCATTTATCTAAATTAAATAATTTCACTCCATAGGGATCAACGAACAAGGACTCTACAGAATAGTTGGGGTCAACTCCAGAGTTCAAAAACTATTGAGTATCTTAATGGGTAAGTAGAGCTGAAAAAAAATAACATGCAGGTTTTTTTTTCCTGTGCCAATGGTGATGTGAATGTAACCCAAAGGAAAGAGGCTTACCACTGTGAATTTAATTATTTTAAAAAAATCAGCTTGTAATGGAAGGATATCATGCAAGATCTTCATTGCACTACACTGAAATACTCAGTGAAAGGAAAGCCTATCACATATTTGTATTCTTTCTACTTTAAAATTTACCTGCTTTTTAGGAGAAAGCACTTTCTGTTTTGTATTAATATTTATATGCAGGTAACTAATAATTAAAGTGACATCTGCAGAAAAAAACAACCTACCCATACAACAAGCTAACTACTGTTTCAAAATTATATAAGGAAGAGAAATAAGTACGAAAACACATATCCTAAAGTTGAAATCTTAAACCACTAGATACCTCCTGCATTTGGTCGAATAGCTCCAAAAAAAACAACAACAACAAAAACCCACCAAGGGAAGGAACAGACTGGGTCTACATAGTTAGGAATTCTGCCACATCAGAGTGCAAATTGAAAATGCCCACTTCTGATAAGGTAGCATCTTTGTAGCAATGGGTTCTGGAAGGGATCAACTCTGTTCAACCTTTCTTTCAATGGAAGAAAGCAATCTGGTGCTATGTAAGGCAGGGAAGGTGACAATCAGCATCTAGAATTGTTACGGGAGGTAAACTAGCAACTACTTAACCTTCAAAGCAATAGGTGTCAGCGTATATTAGGGCATCACATCACTGCCCAGGCTGACAGATTTTGTACCAGCTTTCCAACTGCTCTTCAAGAGCAGTGCCATGTAATATGTGCACAAAGTCTCTTGATCCAAGGATGATCATAACTGATGCATAAGATGTAGCTGTGCCAAAGTCATCATGATTTTTTCCTGAGCTTTCCCATCCCAAATTCCTGCTTAACTGTGGTTTGTGTATTTATGCATTAATTTCGCCTTCTCTCTTTTAATACTTGCCATAATGTGCAAATGGCATTTTTATTGTTTGTTTTTAATTACTCTGCTGTGAGTTTTTTCTTAGCTGCTCAAGAGCAGATTTTTTTTAAATTGACAGATGGGAATTTCCAGTGCTTTTTAGCTTTGAACCTATGCTACTTCCAATGTCAATATTCTGACTAAGTGCAAGTTTAAGTGCAAATAATAATTCCTATAAGTTTTTCCTAGATAATTAGACCCTAGGTACATTGCAGATATTTATTAATATATTGTAATAATTTATAGCTAGCTTTCAGTGCTTTAAAATAAAAATAAACATTTGTAATTAAAAATACCATGTATGTGAAAAAAACAAAGAAAAACATTTCTTGGATCCTTATCATAAGATAAGTGGAAGAAGAGACCTGCTGAGCATCAGTGAGGCCTTCCTTCCCCCTCCTCCCTTCTATATGAAATAAAAGTACCAAATATTTAACACGTTTATATCATTTTAGAAGCAGCTCTACAATCTATATAAAATAAGTAAAAAGGAATTTTGCAACACATTATCAGTGCTGATAAATTTTTGGCTCTCTCAGTTGTCATTTAATGGAGGCATTCCATCAAGTTATTTAAACTGTTATTTATCAAAATTATTTTTCTCACAAAATTATTTTGCTCATGATAAAAAAAAAACATGAGTTTAAAAACTCTACCCTCCCTCTGTCCCTTTTTCTTTTCTTTTCAATTGAAAGTGGAAGGGCAGAAACTAATGGTATTTTCACACTGAAGAACAAAACTGAAGAGTAGAAGATTGGAGTTGATGGACAAAATATCAATATATAGGGTAGTTATTTATGGAGAGAAAAGATAGAAATTACTTTAGTTGAAGCATTAAGACTATTTTAAAGAGTAAGAAATAAGGCTTGAGAAAATAGCTTGCAGTGGTTTGGGCATCTATTGAGTGGTAGAGGCAAAGATTGCGATCTGTCAATACAAAGTGAATGAAGAGACACTGAAGATATTGAAGAGTAGGAAGTCGCAGTAATAAATCTCCATGGACATAAAGGGTCTTCTGGTCTTGGGAATGGAAAGGACCCTAAGAATTCCTGTGACTAAGATTGAATAATGAACTAACTAGATGGGGAAAACATCTTTCTCTAAGGCAGTTCTAAGTGCAGCCACCTGTGCTATAATTATTAACTAGTCTGAAAAGTGATTACTTGCTTTACTATTTACTCCCTCATGATTAAATAGAGCTTGTATTGGGCAAGCAAGGAATTGATTTGCATAAAACATCAGAACTGAAACCTTTTACTTCCTGACTTTTTCTTAGAATGTTCCCCCTTTCAAATGTTTATTCTGATACGATCACTATAATGGGTTCTTTCCCCCCTCCCTTGCATTTTCCCATCTATACATAGAAACAAGTGTGGTTGGTGTTACTGGTTAACATTTGGTTTAAATGGTAACAGGATCAGGTTTCAGGGAAATATTATTGGTTCATAAAGTGGGTACACATCTATACTTAATTGGAAACACCAGATGCTTGATGTGGCTTGGACTTGGAGCCTTGGGTAAACCAATTGTAAGATGTGCAACAGCTGCCGGAAAGCCAGTTGCAAAAGTTCTGTTTGATACAATGAGGTTGAGTCTTGAAGTTCCTGATACCTCCCACTGAAACAGGCACAATAATTACCAGTTGAATTGTTTGACAGTACATTTCTCTCTCTTACCTCTGAGTGATAAATAGCAGTGTTGCTTATTAACAAGTGTCTTCTTGACTATTTTCAGAATAAGGGAGGGGGGATCTATAGAACTAAAAGCCTTCTCCAAAATTAGTTTGGAGTTCATCAGAAGCAGCAAAAATTACAAAATCTGACATTTAGAATTAATATTTACAGGATAATCAAGGATATAATAACAGAGCAATTGTGAATGGTCAAGGGCCATATTCAGCAACCACACCTCCCCTCAGCAATCTGGTCATATAGCAGCTTTCTGCACTATCTACAGCTTTTAGACAAATCAAAGAAAAGCAACTGAGAAGTTTTAAAACTGAGGAATAGAAGACTAGAATAGAAGGGCAGCCAGAGAAGGGACATAGAGAAAATTACAGTAATAAAAACCTGAGGCTGACAGTGCATGAATACTAAGAGCTAGGCTGTTTCTTTCAAGGAAAGAGTATTAATATTTTATTTACTACTGTTATATGTTCCAGACAAGGCAGTCAAAGGCCATAGAGGTCAAAAGCCGCCAAGAATATTGATCACTCTAGAAACATCCTATGTTATGTACTGGTAGTTGTTCTTTCTAAGGAAGTACAATCCTATTGCAAAGATAGGTAGGTAGGTAGTCACTGCTCTCTTGATTTACAATTGATAGCTGTCCAGAAAGTCCAGTTGCCTCTTGAAAAAACACCTTTGGGACACATTTCCATGGTTATTCAGATGTATGAAGGATTTCCATTAAAGACTACAGAAGTAACTTCTGATAACGTTACTGATGTGTTTTGAATTTCCTTCTGAACCTAGAATATTGTTAGTAGTCTAATATTTATTTATTTGTTAGATTCTGTTTTAGAAGGAAATTCATGGATACTACGGACAATGGTTTTTCTCTTACCTTAGGAAAATCATTTTCCATGATTGGATTACACATAACAACCTAAATGTGGAGTCTATTTCTGGTTGGTAGACTGGCTTTTACTCCCATATTGGAGAGCCTAAGAAGAAAGACTTTTAATAGGATGCTTTGAGGGAAGAAGGAGCCTGGGGAGATCCTTCAAAGAAGACCAGACTAGAAATCCAATGTCATGTAAGTCAGTATACTTGCATTGTAAAGCTATAGTAATAAAAACTTGCAAGTCAGAAGATACTTCCCTCCCTGCCTCCCTTTTTAAAGTCAAGAGGTGTTTATTTACAATACATTACTATCCAAGACTCGGTCCTTTTTTGTCTGACCCTTATCTTGGTAATGATTCTTCGTCCTGTCTTTCAAGACCATTCCCTCTTCCCATTATAGTTTCTTTTTCTAATTAGTCATCTGGCTCTTTCATCAACTTAAAAGGAAAGCCAGTTTTACTATGCTGTAGCTTCTGGAATTCTACAAATTATGCATTCACTTTGGTTAAATGAAGTAACATTTCTGTTTCTCTTTTGCCCAAAGGAAAGTTCTGGAAAGCAGCCAGTTACCACAGTACAGTGAGGAGGGGAGCTTCAGGGAAAATATGTTAATGGTGATTGCCTATATCCCTGATTTGGTTAAGGGATTGGTTTTGTGGTATTTTTTCTGTCCTATCATAACTGGCTTCATGGAGTTTCTTATGCCCGTTCCTTCATGGTGGCATCTTCAGGAATGTTTATACTTGGTTCCCATCAAAATTTAAAAATAATTTTAAGAGTAGGCAAATTGGACTGTTGACATTCTTTTGGCAGAACCACACAGGAGACATGCTTTTCAGTTTTGTCCATTCAGTGACAAATTTATGAATTCTTGTCAATCTGTCTCAGATCATTTTCCAAACTAAATTTAGGCCTTTTAAAATGAAATAGAGATCCTTTGCACAACATCATTTTGTTTTATGAATCTGTATCCTGAAAAATGACCTCTTTAAGGTTCTTGCCACAGATTGTTATACTCCGGTCATATTTTTTGGAGATTTAACCTTTCAAACCAAGAAAAATAATAATATCCAGCTTAATTTAAGTTCTATTCAAAACATGTTTCTGAAAAAAATAGGTAGCATTTGTCCTGATAATGATAGCTATGATCTCTACATCCTACATCATATTTATAGTAGTAAAGTTTCTGAACCTGAAAAATGATGATAACATGGAAGGTAGAGAGAGAACTAAATTTGGCTTTTGTAGGAAAGGAGGAAATATATCAGTTTTGTCTATGATTCAGATCTTGTGTGTTGTATTTAGATGTCAATTCAAGATTCTGAGGCCTGAAAGGGCCTGAAACAGTACCATGTGAGCAATATGCATATGTTAAACATTAAACCAAGATTGGGTGTGTTGCAAAACTTCTAAATCCAAGTAGGGAATGATGACTGTGA